TTTACACCAACGTGTCTACTCAATGGTTGAGCCAAAGTCTACGTATCATACATGGCCTTTTGGGCCTACGAACCTCAGAGGCTACATTACTTGTAATCAGCATAGCGCCCGAAGATACTATACTTAATAAGTGCAGACAGTTTTGTATAGCTGAAAAACCTCCATAGGTGATGTTTTCTATCCAGTCAGGTGTCATGACTGGCATTACAATGCACCTCCTCCCACGTCACTAAAATTACACAAGCACATTTACAATTTTGTAAAAACGAATTTTAAAGGTTACAAAGATTTTTTCATTTTGATGAAGGACTAGAAATGACAACCATGAGGGCAGGAATATTGGTAGAAACAGGTAAAAGGAAAAAGAACTGGAAACCAAAGCTGTAAAGAAAAAAAAAAAAAGTACATTCGTAGTGGACACTGAGCTAACAATCTCAAGTCTTTTTCACATCCAGGTACTTATTTCTAGGTCCAAGTCCAGATTTTTGCACTCAATGAAAGTTTTTCACTCAAAGTTGGGCAGACTGTTGGCTCTTTAAACACGTATTCTCCAGTGCTTTAAAGTCCTTTAGATACATCAGCAGTCCCTGAATGCTTGGAGATGTTTCCAGTTAATGGGGATTCGATACTTTGCCATCAGCAATGTTAAATGAAGAGACCTCTTTGTATAAATCCATTGTGACATCCTTCACAGTCCATAACAAGCACAATTAACGTCAAGATGAAATTTCTATATGTAATAAATTGTGCGTCTTATAGCTTATGAATACCTCTCCAATTGGAGACATGTCCAGAATGCATGTAAGAGCACCAACGGGAGTGAATGGCGTATGGACAATATGGAGAGCTTCTTTTATATGATGATAAACTATTCATGGTAATGTATACTTTGTGTAGCAAAGATTACACACTGTACAATTACTTATTTTGCTACATTAAGAGTGTATTTTTTATTGTTCCTGATCATTCCCCAGAAGTGTTCGTTTCAACATTCTTTTATCATCTGTTTAAACGGCTTATACATTTTATTTTACCTATAACATTACACCAGTAAAGATTAGAAAATGTCTTTTCCAGGTCTCAACTGCAACTCTCACTGATCACATTTCTCACCTCATTATGAAAGATATCACATTAATAAAGCTATTCAATATCTGCAAATAGAGTCAGATTGTTTTGAAATTGTTTAAATCAATTAAAAGACTCCCCATCAAATAAATCATTAATCAGAATAGCTTTGATTTTGAAATATTAAACAAAACATGACTTAACTGGAAAAATCTTTGTTTATACCCAAGATTTTTCATGTTAGATATACATTTAGAATTTGACCTTTTCTACTGCTTGCACATTCAAGGTATATAGTTTTTATATACAAATACATACATACAAACAAGTTTCAGAAAGTAGTTACCAGTTGCAAACACCTGCACATACTTCTAAAACACTAATCCTCGCAGAAACTAAACAGTTTGCACATACACAAATCCCATTTGTCTAAAGTGCAGTTATTAATGTTTGAAAAGCACAGATGTAGGTATTTGTACTCCCCAATATACATAATTCCAAAATAAGGCTGCATTGAAAAAAAATCAGACCCCAAAATGCTCATTTGAATTTAACTGTGCATGTCTGCTCTATTTAACAGGTTGGAGTGCCATTAGTGTTACTGAAAAAATGAATGGCAAACTGTAGTTGGGCCACAGTATAACAAAAAATAAAAATAAAAATGCTAGTCTATATGTAAATGTTTATACCTACATTTATCATAGCAATTAGATCTCCCACAGAAGTAAGGTAAGAGACCTGAGTCGAGAGCTAAGTAGAAGTTGGACTAATGCCATTGTAATTACATTAATATGGCTAGTAAGTGAGGCAATCTGCACTGGTTCTCTACATCTTAGACTTTGGGATAATAAAAAGATTCAGTTTTACTCAAAAAGCTATTCAAAATCTACTTCTATGATGGAACCAGAAAACAACCATTTGTATATAAATGTTAATATATACTAACGCACAATCGACTGCAGCCTTTATTTCCACCCAATACAAACGTTAGATCTGCATAATGTGAAGAGCAAGACACAAACTGACAAAAGCCAGAAAAATTCAAAGTTATAGGTGTAATAATGTCCATTATTCAAACCAGCCACAGAAGTAGAAGTCAAAAAAGAGTTTCAGCCTCAACTACTAATCTTGTTGCATTTGTCGTTTCACAAACCTAGATCCAGACGCTGGCTGGCACAGTGCATACATGCAAGCCAGAAAATAAAAAACCAGCCAGCAGCACTGTGCAGTGGAACAATGCTGACCACTCCAGTTCTTCCTCTGGGAAAAAGTGAGGAACTGCTCTGCAGATCCTCTGTGACTTATAGTGCACAGAGATGCAACAAGACACAGCCAAAGGGTGAGAGGATGCAATGTGCATGTTTAGGGGCATAGGCATATTTGACTCCCTGACTATACAATGATCGCAAATTGAGCTTGACCCCACCTTGCAAATTATTCCTATTGCTTCCAGAAAGAGGCTATCCATGGGCAAGTGCATGTAAGGATTATCATAACAAGGAGCACAGTACCACTGCTTTTGGCAGAAGTCATTATGCTGCAGTGCAAACATCAGCCAGAATTTGGCCCAGGTATTGAATATTCTTTGGTATTTGTGTATTATAACCTTCAGAAAAAAATTAGGAATGGTTTTAGCAAAAGAAAAGGCGCACATTTGAAATGATAAACTGAAGGGATAAAAAGTCATTTTAAACATTTTTTTAAAAAAAGTTTTATTTATGAATTTAATGTTTTAATTATTTTTAACTTGCAGAGTAATACATATTTCAGTTATACACATCCAGGCAGAGGGAACATTACAAAAAGAGTATTTGAAATGGATTATTTGCACCTATAACAACCGACGTTTTGTAAATAGCATCCACCACATTTGCTTGCAGGCTGGGGCATTCATAAAGAGCTGTACAAAATGAGAGCTCCATGGTAGGTGCAGATTCTCAGCCAAAACAAAAACCTCGCACAAAATCAGGTGACCACACCCCATACATTTTGAATAATCACATTCTACTATGTCTGAGTCTGTGGTAGCATATGACCGTTATAAGCCTCGAAATAAAATGAATGTAAAATGGGAATGCGAAAGTAACAAATATGGCTCTGCAACTGGCAACCATTTAATTATGGATTTTTTGAGCAGAAAAGTAGGTTGATTTATATCAGCATGTATGGCTCATCAAGGCAATTGATCTTTTAAATAATAAACAATACTCTTAACTCTTTAGAAGGACATGGAAACATATTATTCTATGCAAGTTTTTTGAGCAGAATACATTTCAGGGACCATTCCCATTGTTAACAAGTGAGCAGAGTATTCAGAAAAAGGAGGAACACTTTTTCCACTTTAGTCAGTTTTGCTGCTGAGTAAATGTGACCTTGTTTGAAGCTCAGAACATTCTAGCAGCATCCTTTCCCTTACTATTTGTTATAACTAAGGCTATGAAGGTGACAATTGTACTTGACTTTGCTTAATCTTTCCAGAGGATAATGGAAATTAGCTTTTAGCTATCTAAGTCTTAGTAAGTGTAATTTTATATGAAATAGTTGAATTATTATTAGTTTATCCTGGAGATTCTCTCCATTGAAGAAATCCAGTTTCACAGTTGATCTGACTGATACATTTTCCCCCATATGAGCTGACTCTTTCTGCATTATGTATTCCAGCTGGTTATGTTTTGGGAGATCTGAACTCAGATGTGTACAAATTTCAATTTCACTTAGGCTGAGAAGAAACGAATCCAACTATTCTTTGCCGCATGCACTTGGAGTTAGTATAAAGCAAAGCTGTTTAAAAGATTATAATAATACCATATTGTTTTTGACATTGCTTATTTACTCAGTGAAAATTCAGAAGTAGGACACACATGAAACTACATATTCTAGATAACAGAATATTAAAGATTTTTTTCTGTTTTATAGATCGTAAAAGTAAAGACATGATGGAGGTTGGGCCCAATTGTGTTCTCTTTTCCATTGGAAAGAGTAACTCCTGAAATTAATAGATGTACAGTGGTGTAAAACTGATGTAAGCAAGATGAGAATCAGGCCCCTTAAATATCAGAAGAGCAGACTTGCACTCTACAATCTGTGATCACACCTCTGCTTTTTAAGCATTTTATTCATTCTCATTTCACTGACATGGGTCTGCAAATCAAAACTTTCATGAGCTCCTGGGTACAATCAAGATGGTCATGCCTAGAAGCGTCTCTGTTATGTTCTCCAGAGCGGAGACATTTCCTTCTAATATTTGCTATAATCTGAAATAATGTAGAAAAAGATATGCAACAACATGGAGGATGACATAACACAAATTCACTGTTCAGTTTATAGAAGTCACATGTTTTTACGTTACTTTTAAACTTCATGAAAGATATCAGCTGAAAGAGATACTTTGCTTAGGAATCTTAAGCAAAAATCTAAAACAGGGAGGAGTTCAAGACCAACCAGTTTTTCATCTTAACCATGTTGGCAATGTCTCTTTAAAGATGTTAAATTCTGTAGATCGAACTTTTGACAAATATATATTATTTGTTACACAGAACCTTACATTGTTATGGTCAGCAAGGCCACTATGTAAAAGCAGCACCTCTTTCTTAAACCTTACTCCTGTAAGCTGAGCATATCCAGTACAGTTATAGGAATATGAGGAGATAATGGTTAATTAAACCCTAATTGCAAAATCTATATTCATGGTGATGAAGTATAAGGCAGAAGCAGCACAGCTTGAGTTTAGTATCTCAGGTTAAGTTTGACTGTCAAATAATATGCCTATGATTTAGTGGTAAAGGATCAGATTTCATGTGGAAGTAACTGATATACAAACTTGGAATCTCACAACTGTACTTCAACCTGTACCATTTTAAATTTCATCCACAGACAAATGTTTTCTTCTCTCGTCCTCTGTCCCCAAGAGAAAGCTACCAAAACCATTTTAGTTTTTAAAATGTTTGAAGATTTAATGGGAAGCACAAATGTGTCTCAATCAGATTACTACAACTGCATGTATATAATGTGGTTATTTGACCTGAATAAAAAACATGCCTGAGAAAAGCAGATGCCCCAACACACCATCATTTAGCCAATGAGCCATGATTTGCTAATACTAAGTAAAGACATTTAAACAAACAGACTAAAATTTTCAAAAATAATTTAAATGGCTCTGTAAAATATCTATTTGGATAAAGTGTGATCTTTGCCTTGTGTTTATATAAACTTGTAATAAAACAAAGCCTTGTTTTATTTTATCTGAATAATACCCACAGAGAGACTGTGGCAATTATACAAAATAGAAATTAGTGAATACTCAAGATCTTCTTGAATGGCAGAAGTGTGGTAGAAAAACTATATGAAAAAAGCAATGTATGGATGGATCATTTCACACATGACTCTGGTAACTGATTAAAATGCTGCTAGCACAGACAGTTTTCTTGCACTTTTCCATAGAATTGGAAGTTCCCACAAAAATTCAGTGACAATGGAGTTGAAAAGCTTTATCCAACTGGGCACAGAGACAAGTTCCAGTGAACATATTTTGGTTGTCCTTTTAAAAATTAAACAGGCTACATATGATATTTTACTTCAACTTCAGTAGTATGTGATTGAACTTTTTAGCTAATATCTCACCATTTCTCAGACCAATTGTGAATACATCCAAGTCAACATGACATATTGGATAATTAATTTTCAGTGTTTACCTTTATTAAAAGCAAGGATTTTGTTGTGAGAACAAATAATCTCTCATTTGTAGCTTGAAAGCCCAAGATAGGATCACTGGCTTCCAGGGTTGCTACCAGCTGCTTAGCAACCTGCCCTACTTGTCTTCCCTCCTTCCTGTTGTAGAGAACAGTGGACAGAGGAGTGGGCTGTCGATAGATGAACACTCGACGCAGGCACTCACAAATAGCAGCATAGGAATAATTTGGAGGACAAGCGGTGAATTTCTTGTCTTCCTTTGATGCTTGGACATAACCTGCAAAGCATATAGATATACAGAGGCAAGAAAGTCAATATATATTTCAACTGTGCTTTATACTGCCATTTCAGAATCCTGTGCTTATATTATAAAACTAATACACAAAAGGTCACAAAAAGATAAAAATACACATAAAGGACAATTTCGTACTAATGGCTCCCTTTGTCCTCTTAACACTTATCTCTGACACCTCTATGCATGCCCCTCTCTATGCCTGAAGACCCCTTCTTGACAGAGACATTCTTCCACTGTCTCCTCCTCAGAACATACTTCTTCAATGAGAACTATGAGGCCTGGTACCACTTCCCAAAGAAGCAAGATCAAAACAGCTATTAACAAAACTCTAAACACCACACACTGTATTCTTCAAAAACATACAGCACTTACTCTTGGAATACCGAATACTCAATGAAATATCATCTATAGGCTACATTTGAAGAATTTTTATTCTTCAAAACCATGAGTTAAATTAAGTTGGTTCTTTAAGAAATGTAGCACCCTGTGACACAGGATGTGTTGGGACAAAAACGATAACAGTAAAACACAGATCCATCAAATTCCTCATAGAGTTACAACTCACTGAATTATCATGAATAGGCTACATCAGGGGCTGAAGAATAAATATTTTCCATCACTGAACAACATTAGACAACTGTCCTCTTTCAAACTGATTGTCATCCAATATTGTTTTGAATGGGAGTGAGGCTATAGGGCCGGTCTTAGCAAAATGGGCTACCATCTTCCAAGGGTAGTTTGGCTTCACTCTCATTGAAAACTATGTGGCCATTTTGAAAAAGACATCTCTGTTAGTAGCAGAGACACATTCTATTTCTTCCTGTTCCCCATAGGTGTCATTACAGGGCTGAATTTAGGTTGTTTGGGTACCTTAGCTGTCCATACCTTAACATGTTTAGATTTATTTTATGTTTAACCCTAACTCTAAACTTCCTGGGTTTGTAAATGCTTGTTTTTGGAATAAATACAACATTCCTGCAATGTCTGTATTAAGTTACTGATATTTGCTCAACCTTAACTCCAGTTTAACACAGTTTTATCTGGAAATAACTTGTTACTACTAAGCTAGACAGCCAATGGCACAGATAAGGACCCAAGAATGCTCTAAGAGGTAGTCTAGCCCAGCCCAGGAAAAGTTTTTATATAGAGTGTTAGCTAATACATTTAATTCACATTTTTAAATCCTAGTGTAGACAAGTCACGTCGGGTTTATAAACAATCCTGGGGGTGAGGGAGTCTAGAGCCACTCACTACCATATGATATGTTGAAATACGTCTTGGCCTGTTTACATTGCGGCTTAAAAGTAAATGAACGTGTTTTAATTAACAATTTTTAAATGCCTTATTTTCCTAGTCTAGACATAGCCATGGCAGCAACATGGAGCTGGTAGCAGAATACAGACTGCTGAGCAGCCGGGAGAGAAGGAAGAGAGGCCTTCAAGTCAGCCAGGGATTTAGAAGGGGCAAGACCAAACACTCCCATCCTTCCAACCAGCTGCAGTAATGAGAGGGGAATAAAACCCCTGTAGAGTTACTTGTAAGTGGGGGAGAGGTGACCCTCAAAAACCAACTTTTCCTTCACAGATTCATAGAGCTCAAAGCCAGAAGGAACCATTAGATCATCTAGTTTGACCTACTGCATATCACAAGCCATTACATTTCACCCAATTACTCATGTATTGAGACCAATAAATTGTGTTTGGCTTAAACTTCCAGAAAGGCATCCAGAGATGGAGAATCCACCGCTTCCCTTGGTAGTTTGCTCCAATGTTTAATCACCCTCACTTAAAAATGTGTGCTTTATTAGGGATGCAGGACATGGAAAATCTTTACCTCATCTCTCACACACATACAATGGTGACTACTGCAAGGAAAGGGAGTGAAGACGTTGTTCTTTTGGCTCTACTTCGCACAAAGAGGAGGATTTGGCCCCAAATGATCACAATTCTCCAATCACTCTCTATGTACTGTGGGACTGATTTTAGACCAGCAATGAAAATAGGGAAAAGAAGAGAACAGGACTACAGGCATTGTGTTAGTGAATAAAGTGAGCACAGTGGATTCTTTAAAACTACCTTTTATACCCCACAAGATGCTCACTTACTACCACTGACTGGCTCTAGCGTGATATTTCTAGTGTTTGGTTGTAGATAAACAAGGTGGTGACGCATGTCTTTTCTGGCAATAAAAGGTAAACTAGATTAGCACAGAAGTGTAAACTTCAACATGGTACTGTAAATGATAGTACAGTAAGGAAGAAAATGCGGAGGAACAATGATGTTTTTACCCCCACAAGCACAGAAAACTTGAAGAGGAATTGAAAATTTTCCTCCATTTATTTCCAAAATTATAGAAATATTGGTGCATTTAAAGTCTTAAAACAGTATTAATGATTAATTGTAAGATGCTAAAAATTAATTACTACTGGTTTGGAAAAAGATTTGCCTTGTCTTTTTTTTTTTTTTTTTATTAAAGCATTATAAAACCAGTTTGCATACAAAAATAATGACAAATATACAAAGACTGAGAAACGATAGATTTTAAAGGTACTTGAAGCCTAATGTGACATTAGATCAAGGCAAGAGGCTGATAATAAGATAGTTCCAGTACAAAATAAAACAACAAATACAAAAGAAAAAGAAAATCAGGTATGGGAGTTCAAATCCCGAACTAGACCACAAACAGAGTCTGGTTTGATTAGGTAAGCCACTATCCAGAACAAGTGTGTTCTCAGACTTTGCTGAAGTTATAATGGAAGTGAAGGATTTCTTAGCTTCTCTCACTGATTTAATGTGGGCTTGTACCAATGACCAGTGTTTATTGGACTGAGATCTAGTCTCTTCTGCCCTCCTATTTCATCTGATGGAAGTCATTCATGAGTCATGATGACTAGGACAAATGATGTGAAGGCAAGAGACAACCACAGGAGCAGTGTTCTGTGGCCTGTTGCATTCTACTAGCTTATCAATACCCTAGTCAGGCAGTTATTCATTGTTTCCTAGCTGCAAGTCCTGGAAATCTATGGGATTCATAAACTTGCAAGCATGCAACAACAGTTATGTCTGCCTCTAACTGGAGGCGCTGGGACAACAGTTTAGGAGTTTTTACTGTGGCTCTGGCAGAAAATAAGATCCAGAGACCACGGAAAGGACCTTATAGTTATCACAGTGTATGTGAAATCTTGTGCTTGACTGATTCTGGTGGAAATAAGATATACAGATCTCAGAGCTACAACCCTTAGATTCAGAAATAGAAACCAGGTTTAAAAGGCTGAAATAAAAGAAGAGATATTTTATTAATAACTGGTTAATAAACTAAAGGACAACACTGGCATAAGAGCAAACGGATATAAACTGGTCATGAACACATTCAAGCTGGAAACAGAAGAAGGTTGCTAACCATCAGAGGAGTGAGGTTCTGGAATAGTCTTCTAATAGGAGTTGTGGGGGCAAACAATGTAATTAGTTTTAAGAGACAGAACTAGACAAATTTATTAGTGCAACTGTGTGATGGGATTGTTTGTGATGGTACGGGGGTAGCCTACGTTCAGCAGCCCTGGGGCTCACTTCTGGTTTATGTCTTATGTTCCTAAAAGCGCATGTTTCAGCTGGCCATCTGCAGGGGTAAAGAAGGGATGATTCTCTCCCCCAGTGTATCCTGAGATTTTTTTTTTTTTTTTTTAAAGTCTCTCTGTGACGCATCAGGATTGGCTAAGGAGGATGGAGATGGGACCTAGGATGGGGAGGGCCAAAGCTCTAAGGTGGCACCAAGCAGATGCTTGGTTCGCTGGGATTCTTGCTCACATGATCAAGGCCTAACTGATCGCCATATGTGGGTTCGGGAAGCAATTCTCCCCCAGGGCAGATTGGCGGTCACCTTAGGGAGGGGTTTTGACTTCCTCTGGAGCCTGGAGTGCAGGTCACTTGCCAGGATTATCGGAGTATATCTCACTTAACCCCTGCTATGTGGGGTCTTGTGCACTTGTGCACCTTGTTCCTTCCTATTTTCTGCCTGTGGCACATAATATGTCTAGTCTCCTGTGGGCTGTAATACTTTGGTTTAATTTCAGCTGCTGGGTGGTGTTGATGGCCCATGAAACACAGGTCAGGCTAGATGACCTGGTGGTACCTTTTGGCCTTGAACTCTATGACCATGATGTCTACAGACCAGCAGCTAGATAAAAATAGCCAAGGTGTAAAAGATGAACAATATCAGTCTCCTTGCTGCCAAGGTTAATTATTTAAAAGAAAATTACATGATCGTTACTAAGACGAGCCTTCATTTTAAATGTGAAAAGCTGAAAAATAATACAAAATGTGAATGTGAGGCTACTTGGCCTGTCACCTTGAACTTAAAGAGTCACCAGATTCTGAAGACCACTTATTAAAAATGTACCTTGCCATGAACACATTACACCTGTACTCTATGCCCTGCACTAGATGCCTGCTGGTTTCTGGTAGACTTTAAGATACTGGTTGTGAGCTAAAAAACTTGAAGTTGCCTGGCGCCTACTTACCCAAGAGACTACCTCTTTTCCTGGGCCATATAACCATAGCTGAGGTCGGCAATGGTACTCAAGCTGAAACCCCTCATTATAAAAGGGAGCTCTCTCTGACAGTTGAGCTCCCCTCCATGATCTGAAATGTCCAAGTCTGTTGACATTTAAGGCACATCTCTTCTCCCTGATATTTTGTCAAGTATTCTTAAACCTCTTGTTCACATATTTATAAACATTTAGTTATGAAGAATGATGCATTGACCTCAACATTCTTGTGATTAGATAACCTGTTTAACTTCTAAGCTGATCTTCTGTCAAGGCACAAACATTACCTATGCCTTCTGTTCTAGTATTTCTAAAATTAATCCAACATTCTCTTATCAACAGAATTAATGCACTAGTCAATCAAAATTTAATTAGAGTAACTCATGAACAAAACATAGATCTAATGGAAATGAGATGGCAAAACCTTGAGTAACATTTGTTAGAAAGAGACAGGCCACTGAGCAGTTCATTCCATACCTAAAGCATTGAAAGTTGCAATGTGCTCCCACATATTGTCCGGTTGGTCAGAACGTGGCTGCCAGAGAAGAGCATCAATATCATGCCGCAAACAGAAGCAAGGCATTTCTTTGGGATCCACCACTGCTGAGAAGAGATACTGGTTACTTCCAAGATTTACCTAAAAAAGAAATTAAATAAATCTTGAAGATGAATTCAAAAATTGCAAAGTACTCACAATATAAAGAGCAGCAGATTTTCTGTCATATATACAGTTAAGAGACTTGGTATAATTTTAGGACCTGGGAATGTTTTCTTGCAATATTGTATTACTGAAACTTTTTTTTGCAATGTTGTAGTAGCCATGTTGGGCCCAGAATATGGGAGACACAAGGTGGGTGAAGTAATATAATTTAATTGACCAACTTCTGTTGGTGGAAGAGAAGTTTACAAGCTTTGCAGAGCTCTACAGCTTGATGGTCTCTAGAATATGGGTTCTCCAGCTGGGTGTTGAGGCACCCAGGATGGGGTCACAAAAAGGTTTCAAGCCATTTAATTGTATTGACTCAGTTTGATCATAATTATTAGGTTTCGGACCACAGCCCTAATTATCGGGACAAATTCTATTCACTTTCCACATGTGAGAGATTCCCACTGACTGCTGTAACAAGGCTTATATGAGAAAAGCTAGTAGGATTCACCCCAGTATCCTATCTAAACACAACAACACACAATTAAATGTCACATATCACTTTAATTTACTATGAAACAGTCTTCTTGGATAATTAACAATAATACGCTTATGTAGCACTGTAGCTACCAAATCCTCAAGAAGGAGGTTAGTATTATATGAAAAAGGGAAATTAATTAAGTGACATGGCCAAAGTCACTGAAGGATTAGCAGTCAGGAGCTCCCTGTTCCCAGTTTGATGCTCAGATCACACCTATATTTTCTAGAGGAATAAATGTACTTGAGATCTCCTTTACACCTGAAAATGTTCTCACATTCCAAGAGTATAGCAGTTGCTGCTAAATTAAGATACTCTGAATTATTGTAATTTGAAGCAGGTGATGGGGATGTGAGATTGCTACACCTGGTTTCAGATCATGCTACAAGTTTATTAGTATTATTACTCCTCTAAGTAGGTTCTGTATGATATTGAATCTTGTAGATCAGTACTTTGGTAAGGGCAGTCCCCCCAGTACTTTGATTTTTATATTGATTGTTAATTATTTGTATTGTGGTAGTACCTAGAGGCCACAGCCCCATTATGCTGGGCACTGTACAAAAATATAATAGAGATGGTCCATTCCCCCCCAAAACCTTACATTCTAAGGATAATATGAAAGACAGCACATAGATACAGCAGATGGAGAACGGAGACACAGAGAGTTTAAATTATCTGCCCAAGGTTATGCAGGGAGTCTGCAGTAGAGCTGGGAACTGAACCCAAATCTTGTAAGTCAAGCCTCAGCTATAATAGTGTGAGATAATCCTTTTGCAAAGTCAAGCCTCAGCTACAAAGCATCTCGAGTTACTGATGCAGGAAGTGAAACCGGATATTATAGGGATAAATGAAACATGGTGGAATAGTAGTCATGACTGGAGTACGTGCTGTTTAGGAAAGACAGAAATAAAGGCAAAGGTGGTGGAGTAGCATTGTATATCAATGATGAGGTAGACTGTAAAGAAATAAGAAGGGATGGAATGGATAAGACCGAGTCTGTCGGGGCAAAAATCACATTGGGGAAGAAAGCTACTAGAGCCTCACCTGATTGAATTGGCCCTGTCTTTTTTCCAGAAGTAATTGTAGTATTTTGAAAGACGTGATCAGTTATGTTTAAGATGGTTTAGACATATTATTGTATTTCAGTATTGCAAATGGCACGATATAAGTAGCATACATTTTGCATAGAATTGACATTTCTATGAACAGATCATTTGGATGCATGGTGTATACTGCAACCAGCTACTTTGCAAAAGGATTATCTCACACTATTATCCAAAAGAAGCAGAAACAACCAAACAGAGAGAAGAACTATGCAAGTTTGAAGCCATCATGGGTTTGCAGCAGCAGGAACCAGATGAATCTAGGACAGAGGCCCCTGCCTCTTCCCTCACACAACCCTGTTTGACTGCTTTCCTCCCAAAAATCTATGCAAGACATCTCACGTGACATTCAATCATGCAGGCCACACCTAGCATAGTCCTGTAGTCCAGATTGAATATTGTGTGTTCAGGTTTCAAAGTAGCAGCCGTGTTAGTTTGTATCTGCAAAAAGAACAGGAGTACTTGTGGCACCTTAGAGACTAACATAAGCTTATGCTGAAATAAATTTGTTAGTCTCTAAGGTGCCACAAGTACTCCTGTTCTTATTGTGTGTTCAGTTAGGAACAAGTGGCCTGCAAGTAAGTAAGTAAGTAAGTGAGAGAGAGAGAGAGAGAGAGAGAGAGAGAGAGTGTGTGTGTGTGTGTGTGTGTGTGTGTGTGTGTGTGTGTGTCACCAAGTGGGAGCAGGTACAGAAAGTGAAGAGGGGTGGGGTTGAGTGCTGCCACGATTTACCCATTCTGCAAATCAGCCAGCATCCCCCAACACAATCCCCAGCCAAGTCCCAGCTTCCACTTAGCCCTCAGCCACTCTACCCAGCTACCTTCCAGGTCCATGAACTCTACCCCAACCATGCTCATCTCTCCCCAGCTCCCCCCTGAACACCCCCACAAACCCAGCTGTCTCAAACTTTCACCTTCCTTATCCCCAGACCTTTGCCCACCCTGCTCTCCCTGAACCTGTTCGCATCTTTCCCAGTGGACAATCCTAGTCATCCCAAATTTCCACTTCCACACTACCAGAAACTCAGCTGCCCTGGATTTCCCACTCCAGAGAGCCCCTATCCAGTACCCATATATGTCCCAGACACCCTTCAGCATCTATTCACTTGCCAAGTTTTCTGCAGCTCCTTGTCCTGTTCCCACCACTGCTTGGGGCAGGATGTGTTGACCTTAAGCTGAAGTGTATGGTTAGATACAAATTACTTGGCGAACACACATGTGTTATCGTGCAACATTTGACTTTGTTTCTCCAGGGGAGGGGAAGTGAAGCAGTGGGGGAAGAGACATGAATCTTAGTTGGACATTGTGTCTTTGCATACGTACGAAGAGCAAGGTAGGGCAACTCAAAGACCAGAAACTGCCAGTACAGGAAGTTACCAGTAGTACCAGTAGTTTACCAGACATGCCCAGTAGCTCTTCTGAGGCGGTATGGCAAATTTTCATTGTGGGAAACCTACTTGTCATACCTTAATCACCCTCTGAAAGCTGAGCCAGACAGCAAAGGGGAAAAGGTTAAAAATAGCTCTTTAGACTTGAGCTGTTGATTGATTCAGGACCAACAATTATGTTTGCTGTGAGGGATGGGTCCCAATAACTGTACCTATTCAGGGTGTACCTGAGAAGACCAGACAGCTGCTAACCCAAGGTCTGGAACACTGCTAGCTGTGGAAATCCACAGACTGCTTGTTTGCTGACAGGGTTTTGAAGTGTTTGAAAGGACTGAGATGCTGTCATTTCTCAAGCTCTGATGAGTCCGGGTCACACACTACATACTATGGTCCCAGAGTGAAGACTGAGAAATCATCTCAGAGAAAATCAGAGGGGAAGTGTGTTTTGAGGTGTGTGCTAAAGTATAGAAAATGTCATGTTGAAACCTTATATTTGAATATATGTAACAGAAACAAAGGTGGAGCAGTCTGAATTAGGAACACCAGTAGATTTATTGTCCAATAGCTTTTCCTCAAAGTTATTCATAGTATTAAAAGTATTATTATTAAAATGTATTCTGTGTACATTAAATGTGTTACTACAAAAGTCTATAGTACTATTTGAAATTGACTGGGAGGTATTAACACTTATTTATCAAAGATTTACTTACAATAGCCCTGAGGATTAACTGTGCATAATAGTTTTCAAAAAGTCCTGAAAAGTCAGAACTGTGCTTCAGCAAGAAGTTAAGTTGAGATACAGGAAGAAAGGGAATGTAACAGTTATGTAGAATATTGCCCGATCATCCCCCGATCCTATAACATTTACAAATACACAAATTATTCAGTGAGCTAATTTACATATGTTGGAATTATTATTTATGCAGGGTTTTACCACAACACTAATTTAACCATAAATTTCATTATTAAATCCAAAGGCTGAATGGTATTTGTACAATTTCCCTAAACATGTCTAACAAACCTAATAAATAAGCGATTTTCTACATCCAGATAGAAACAAAACATTTATAAGCATTTGATCAAGATACTTACAAATGGGCTAAACCCAGAGGTGTTTAGACCCATATTGGTTGGCTCCAAGTTGACCAGGCAGGTATTAGCAGTGAACCCTATAAGAGATTACCTTTTTCTATACCCTTTAACACACAAGTGATGTCATTGCCAATTACTGACATCAGCTAAAAACAATTTGAGACCCTTCATCCTTATTTCCAGTCTTAATCCAGATAAAATTTTCAACCTCCTCTCTCCAAGGCCTTTCCTCTTTATCTCTTCCCCTCCTCCTTGTTGATCAACAGTTTTTTCATTGCAACTGGGTTCACATAGGCCCTAATTTTTGAGACAGCACTGGTACGTGGAGGTGGGAAGGTCCATATAGACTCAATCGAAAACAATTTTTTTGTCTTACTTAAAACCATCTGCAGTCATCCCTATCGGTCAGAGGCCTTCATTTTAGAAACTTTCCTTTATTTCATGCGTTATTCTTGTGAACCAGACAGCCTCCCTATTTTATTCCTTCTGGCCTTACAACTCGTTACGTTCAAGGGCTTTCTTTTATTTGCTAGTTAGGGCCTTTCTTTAAAACACATTCTTTTAACCACACTTTAACTTTAATTCTATAATTTTATATTTATTATACAACATATCTGCAAATAATTTGCACAAAATTTGGCAGCTGTGACCTACCCTTCATGGTGGGGGAAAGAGAGGAAGTGACAGGAACCACACAGTGATTCTAGGGCCTGGTCTACACTATGAGTTTAGGTCGACTTTAGCCGCGTTAAATCGACTTAAGCCTGGACACGTTTACACTACGAAGCCCTTTCTTTCGACTTAAAGGGCCCTTTAAACCGGTTTCTTAACACCACCTCGACAAGGGGATTAGCGATAAAATCGGCCTTAG